TTGTGGTGGTTTGTTCTTGTTTTTATTTGTTGTTTTGGTTTAGTTTGGGTTGTTTTTTTTTTTTTGTTTTTTTTTCTGGTTAGTTTTAGTGAAAATGTGCTGTACCAGCCCAAAAATGTTACATAAATCTAAAAATATTATATCAAACATGTTACTGTCATTTCATCAAACTTTTAGTTTCTTAAAAGTCAGATTGAATAAGATCATTTTTGCAAGCCCATGTTGATTTGACACTATTTTTGCTGTTAATTCCTCAGTAGTCCTCTGAGCTGTTCTGTGGTTTTGAAAACCTTTTCCAAGTTGAGACCCCATTACTTATCTGTTTAATGTTTTGACATTTCAAAGGGGTGATTTTTTTTTTTTTTTTTCCCCAGCTCATTGGAACTTTCTCAATATTCCAAGACTTTCTGGAATTAAACACTGCTGCAAACATTCTTTGAGTAACTCTCATGAAAAAAAAAAAATTATCACCTTCATAGCATTTTAAGACTGCTAACTTACAAATGTTAAATAACATCACTTTGACAGATTTTGTTGAATGATTGCATGCTGTTCTATTAAATGTTTGTTAACATACTACCATATTATTATAGAATATTTTTTAGGTAATATGCATACGTGCCATCTTTTCTTGTTCATTTGTTTTTTGTTTTTGTTTTGTTTTTTGCTTACTGTGTGTGCATTTCTTTGCTCTGACCTCTGTAACATTTGTGAATTTTGACTTATGGTCTCTGCCCTGTATCCCTCTGCTCCTCTTCCAACCTATTCTCTCCTCTTGGTGCTTTCACTCTTAGTCTCATTGTGGCCTCAGGCTTTTTGGCTCTTGTTCCGTTTTTTTATTTACTCATTTTTTCTCAAATTAACAAGTCAGTGTTTTTTCCCATGATATTGTTCTCAGGGTTTCTAGTAAAAAGTTCTTAAATTGTTAAGAAATTGAAACAAAAGATATAGACAACTATTGTTTTAATTGATTTGACTCAATTTCCAGCTTTTTGAAGTTGTCCTTTTAAAGTGCAAATTGCTATATGTTGGATTGATTGTTTATTGTAAATAAATGCTGATGAATCAGTTGTCTTATTGTAGACCTATTGCAATAGAAAATATCTACTATACTTAACTACTGCCTTGGCTAGTACTTATTTAGTCTATTGATCTAGTTTGCAAATTGATATTCATAGATTAAATTGATATTCACAGATTAGGGCTGAAGAGTTGATAACTGTATCTTGTTTTTTATTTTCCCCCTTCAGAGCCCTTCTGTGTTGATTTTTTTTTTTAAATTTATTTATTGTTTTTTGGAGCTCTTTAACAATTTATGTAATAGTAAAAATGGGTTGTAGCCTTTTTTTTCTTTACTACCCTCAAAATTCTTTGACTTCTAGTCAGTGGTACAAACTTTACTGCTTTGACTAGATACGTGTGTAGGGCTGACATGTAGTGAGTATTAAAGGATGTGTTTGAGCGGTTCTGTCACAGGCTCTGTCAGTGGCAGTCCAGAAATGCATGCCTATCTCCTCCTGAAGATTTCTAGAGGGGAGAATGTGTCTTTGACTAATCCACATTGCTAGACATCAGCCAGTAAAGTCCTCTCTTGAACTATCAACATCTCTAATACTGTTATCTCAAGGAGCCTGGTAGCTACTTAATCATTACAAGTGCTTTCAGTTTTAAGGTAAAAGATGATAGGAGGATCTGACTGGATTTTTTTTTTTTTTTTTTTTTGCAAAGCTTGAAGTTAAACTGTTGTGTTTAAACTGTTGTCTTAGACTGTTAAGAAACTATAATTACAGTTTGAATTTATGACAAAATATTTGGTTACAGAAGGGAGGATGAAAATAAAACTGTTTAGGTGCAGACACAAAACTAGTGAAATTTGACCATGCTGAAGACTGCATAGTCAACGCTCCCTTTTTAGTTTCAATTTCTGTGCTTGTTACTCTTAGCATAAAAATGGCACATCCATATTTTAATTTTTGTCAGAGGACATCTTGGAGAATAATGTTTCTTAAATATTGCTTTCTTTTTAGAGCTAACAATTGCTACACACTTATTATTTCACAACCTCTGCATTCAAAAAGTTACTCTATCCTTGCTTCAGTACTAAGTATTTTCTTTATTTCATGGGTTTTTTTGTTTGTTTGTTTGCTAATTCTTCACTTGCTGGAAAGCCTTTTGAGAGAGAGACAATATTTTTCAGTTTGTAAATGTATTTTTTAAAAAAGCAAAAACTTTTTTCTCTAAGTTTTTACACTAACACCCAAAAGACATTTTTCCTTTTATAGGTCACCAGTAACATTATAGGGGTTAAATGTATGGCTGCTTTAATTGTGAGGAATGTATCTAAAGGAAAGCACTAAAATTTTGGGATCTTCATCCCTTTTTCTCTCTTCTAATTCTGTTACTCTTGCAACTTTTCCACTGGCCCTGCTCTTTAGCTGCTGTGAACTGTCAGATACTGAAACATAGATGATAAAAATATAGAAACTGGAATTTAGCAGAGGCAGCCATGTTAATTTTTGTTCCATTTGAAATGCAGGAAAATATCATCTGCCAAATGGAAAAGGACAATCGGTGGGAAAAGAAATGTTCTTTTCAAGCTTCTAAGAGCAGTGACAATGGAGAGAAAAAATACTATAAAAAGTAGGCAGCTCCTTTTTCAAGATTTTGTTTTCAATGTATTATGCATGATTAACTGTACACAGTTGCTCTTCTGGAGTCCTGAATGACCGAATACTACATCGCAGTGCTTACACTGTCTTTACTGCATTGCACTTTGCATTTGGGGGGGAATAGGGCTCAGCTTCATGGCAGTTTTGCCAGTCTTTAGTATAATTTTTGAATACATTCATACTTCCCTTATTTGCCTTTTTTAATGTCAAGCATTGCACATAAGATGTTCTGCTGTTGCTATGCAACTGCTAAATCCAATATTTAATATTAATAAAAACGGAGTGGCATTAGCATCACTGAGAACAGTGGGCTAGCAAACTATGATTGTACAATATCCAAGCTGTAAAACTTGGCAGGGACTTCAGTGTGCGATTGCATGCATGGCAAACTGTGGGGCATGAGTCATTGACAGTTACTATTTTAAGAGTGGTGAGTTTGAGTAAAATTTCTGAGCTCTCTTGATTTTAATTCTTATATATATATGTATATATATATATATATATATATAAAAAAATATATTTTTTAAAACGGAAACATAAAGAATGAGGTTGGTTAGCTCTTTTCCTTAAGGTTTCATTTCAGATACAAATTCTGAGGGGTCGCTACCCATAAAAGAGTCAGTGTTATAAACCTATGGGTCAATACCCTGATTCTCCTATTTTTCTTCTAGGTCAGGTTGGTCGGCCCTTTCCCACTGTTCCTGCCACTTCCTGAAGCCTGAATTGGCTTTTTTTGGAGGCAGTGCTACTTCTCTGCCTGACAAGGTGCTGTTCAATGGGATGTCTTTGCAGTTTCTCCTCTTCCACCTTGTTTTCTGATCTTTCCCCTGTTTCTCTTTACTCTTGACTGCTATTTCACTGTCACTCTCTCACCTTTTTTTTGTTCTCCACTCAGTGCTTTCTGAGATTAGATTTTTAGTATCAGCCTCTGATAGGCATTAGATCAAGGATGGTGATGTGCCCTGGCAATGCTTTGGCCATCTACATTGTGCTTTGGCCATGTAATCAGGCTCCAAATTCTGTAGGATCCTCCATCTGATATCTAAAGATGTTAGTGCACTGGCACTCTTGCTGACACCCAGAGGGATTGTAAAGCTACTTATTCTTTCCTTTTCAAGACTGATGTCCAGAAGATAACTTTGATATTAGATCTGTATATAGTCAGAGTTATTTCAGAATTACTGCTCTTTTGCAATGTAATAACTGATTTCCTTCATAGCATGTGATCATCTACATTTCAACTGGTTTTGTAAAAGGGCCATTTCAGGTGGTTTATCTGTCCCTGATTCACCCATGCAAGTTTCTGTAAATTTAAAACCATATTTTTCTGTCTTAATTTTTTTTTTTTTATTGCTTCTTCTGCCTCAAAGATTTAGGCAAGTGGGAGAAGCTGCCCCTAGCTATATGCAAATCATTATTAAACCTACAAAGCAAAAGTATTAAGGGGGGGGGGGGGGGGGGAGAAATACAGCAAACTATAGTCTTGAGTTTTATGATCATATTTGGAGTACATTTTTATAATCAGGTGGAATTTGTCTGTCCTCCTTAAAGCAGTCTTTGTGCTTCTCATATTCATTCTGCCAACCTGTCTTCTCACAGTATTGGGTAGTTAATAGCTCTGTAGATTTTACTGCCAGCAGGGATTTAGTGTAATATTGATTTAATATTTCCAAATAATGGCAGTAATGTTGGTAAAGGTTTTTCCTCTTTTGGAATACACTAAAATTGGTTAAATTTATTTTAAGTGAGGCATAAATCATGGTGTTGAAGTAAATTGGACTGTGTATCTTAGATGTGGATCTGTGATTGGAATTTGGTTCCTTCGTAGCATGGTACTACTGAATCCCTTTCCTTTGATTTTTTTTCTCCTCAAACCTGTAACTCTTCAGGAAACACTGATTCTAACATTTGCTGAAATTCAGAAAAGTAACTGAATGCCACTCAGATGGAAGAATATATTTTTTTTAATTTGGAAAACATACCTTATTTCAGTTTGGAGGCTTAAGCAGGAGAATTTTTTTCATATAGAAATTACCTGGTCACATTGTAGAACCTACAACTTCCTATTTTATTTTAAAAAGGGTTTATTTCAATGTTGTTCTTTGGTTTTAACCTAGCTGTTTACAAAAGTACAGGAGTCGGTGGACTCTAGATTGTGCTATGATTTGTCAGTAGTTCAGTCATCACAATTGACCCATGCATCTTGTAATACTTAGAGAAAACACGTTGAGCTCTGTTCTTGGAACAGATAAATATAGAACTGCTATTGTGAATATTCTTGTAGTGACGTACTTAATCTAGAAAGCTAACAATTCTTTTATTTGCTTTTAGGGTTTGAAAGTATTCTAGAAGGCCTGTTTGGACCTGGATTATTAAAAGATCTCAGTTTGTTTAAAGGTATTCAATCTCTATGTTTGTATCTTGTTCTGCATTTCTAATGACAGAAGCAGCCCCAGCTCTGCCTCTAGAAAATGTGTGTTACCGTGGTGATTTGTGCTTTTTTTTTTTTTTTTCCCCCTCCCCCAGGCAGTGCTCACAGTTAGTTTCATATTGGCTAAAATTACTAATGAGTGTGCGTTCATCTTTATGTAGCTGGGAGTGTATTTGGCAGTGCTCAGAAAAACAGATTTGTTGTGCATAGATAAAATGTATACTGTTTGGTAATCTGGGGATTTAGAAAAACGGCCGAAATGAAGCCTGCATCCTCAGAATGCAGGCAAGAATGTTGTGAAACAGGTATTTAATTCGGCATTTCTCTTTTGGCTCCAGTTGTGTCGCGGTTTATGAATATGAAGTAATTTGCTATTCCTCTGATTTACAGACTGTGAGCCTGAAGGTGTTTCTGATTGGTCTTTTGATGAAAATTGTCTTTTCTGCTGCCTGAGAAGAGAAAAAGTGAAGGTAACAATGCAGATGTGTGAAGCTAGTAGTTGTAGGGGAGGGACAAAGGGAGGGAGTTTGCTGTTCCTAGTTAACTGAACAGAAAATCTGCAACCTCCTACCCCTTTCCCCTCCTTCGGAAAAAGGCTTTCTGAATTAAAATAATGTGAGTTAATGAACAGACTTGCTTCTTTGCAACTTTTTCTTTGTTGTATGTGATACAGATTTTTTTTTTTTTTTTTCCTGTGTAGTGGCTCTTTCTGTTTGGTGTTTTTTGTTTGTTTTAATTTTTTTTTTGGTTGTTTTTTTTTTTTTTTTTTTGAGTTCTTTGTAAGAGATCTTGTTGGGATCTTGAAACCCTTCCCAAGGGAGTCAAACTGTAGCTTGTACATGTTTACTACAGACAGATGCTGGGCTTATCTTCGGTATGGAAATGTGGTCCATTTTAACAACCTAGAGTCCTGTTCTGTATCTTGGAATCTCTTGCCCTGTGGGCCATATCCTCTTATTCAAAGACTCATATCTATTGTAGATTTTATACTGTGCTTGTTTATAACCAAGTCAGAGCCTAAATGTGGACAAGTTAGCTTTGCCAATATAATAAACTTGTAGTTTGTTTTTTTTAACGAGATTATAGCTGTATAGGAAACAAAGGCTACCATGCTATATGTGACTATTGCTCAGCCCATGTGTTGAAATTATGATTGTTCTATAGCATACGAAGGAAGGCTTATCTGTCTTGGCAAAACTTTGTTTGCTGGAACTTAACTCCTCCTTCTTCCTACATAATGTAAAATAACATGCAGGGTGGATCTCTATCAATTTAGGAATGAAACAAAAGCACTCTTTCCTCTGCAGCAGCCAACATGTATGGTTGCATGTGTTGTTCATAAAGGAAATACTTTGTTGACACTGATACTTGCCATGTTGCCAGTTTATCCTTGGTTTTGTATTACAGTTTTTTTGGAGGGTTAGGAACACTTGCGTTTAGAACAGATGTAAGGCATAACACTTCCTTTTATTGAGACTGACAGCAGGTAAGGTGTGTATGTATGCTTATGCTGTAAGGAGTTCTATCTTATTTGACTTATGTCATCTTATAAAAAAGACAAAATTCAGTGTTCAGCACAGCTGTAGTTAGGCCATTGAATTGATTCAGAAATTAATTTTGTAGTGCAGTCAGAGACAGGTCATAGTCTGGGAGGATCTAACAGTATATGGGTAGATCTTCAAAAAGACTGTTTATATCTCAGTTATCCTCATAGGTTTACAATAACTAAAATAAAGCTCCTGAAAATTGGTGATTGTTAGGTGAAGACAAAATTAAGAATACAAATGTTCACTGTACAGTGTGCTAATAAGTTATGGTCGTCTTGGCCTTTTCAAGCTTCTATACAGCCTTTAGTCAAAAGCTGAGATATCACTGTTTATATTTTCCAGTACTTTGCTAGGCTTTTCTTTCTAGTTTCACATAGTAGAGTGTAACCCATGATTGTGACTATCACTAGAAAAACTAGTGATGTATTCCCTATGTTAGTGGTAGTTATCATTTACGTTAAGGTTCCTCACATGGTTTCCCATTGTACTGTATGGTGGCCTTTAAATGAGTGAAAGAAAAGATGCAGATGTGGTCATATCCGGTGTCCTCTGTGGTGTTTTGACATCAAGGGTCTAAGAAGATTTTAGGATTGCATGCAGATAGATACAGAATGCAGCAGGGGTGTGCAGCATCGCTAGGTACGAGGCAAATGGGAAGGAGGTTATAAGTTCTGATCAGGCTAGACAGAAATGTGAGCTAAAGGCTATGGCAGTGTCAGTCAGCAACCATGAGCTTGGGTAGAATAATTTTTAGAAATAAAACCCAAGCAGTTTCTATCACTTTACATTTCAGTAACCAAAAATACCTGTTTAAACCATTTTTCTTATAGCTGACTGATAAACAGGGACAGCAAAGAGAGCTTTGTACACATGGTTGTTTGCTGCATGATCAGGAATCACTGGCTGGGGGAGTGGGGAGGAGGGTGAACCGGTCCATTCAAATCATGTGACTTTTCTGTTAATCCTGGTGATTCTCCTCATGTTCTGCATGGGGCTTCTTTGAAGTATGTAGCTTTTTTTTTAGGTGTGTTTTGTTTTTTGTTTTTTCTTTTTCCCCACAGTCTTTATATGAGTTCTGTTGGGTTTGTGGTTTTGGGGGTTTGGGTTTTTTTGTTTGTTTTTTGTTTTTGAGAGAATAATATAGCTCCTTTTAGAGCTAGTGAGTTCTTTTATGTCAGCTGAGAGAGATGGCAGTGTGGGAGTGCTTCCTTTTCTCTGTGGGTATGCCGAATTGCAGCATTGCTGGCTGTTGTTGCTGATGTCATTAGCTTGCAATACAGAGTTAAATATGACTTTTATGGGAGCTTTCAAATAGTATGGATTTAACATCATAACGTGAATTAAAACATTGGAGACTTAATTGTTACAGAAAGGTTTGTAACTTCATTTGGTATTTAGCTAAATGATGGACAGTCTACAGCTGATGGACTGAACTAAATTGGAAATGCTACTAGGTTGTCTGACATCTCCTTTTAATATCTGTTTGATATCTTTAACTCTTCTTAGGGAGTTGCAGGCTTAGTCTTGTAACTGCTAAAACTTGTTTCTTCCTGTACATAAAGTGGTAGCAGTTGTGCTTTCTGTGGCACATCCTCTATTCTGCTTTTTTTATTGTTCCTGTGCATCGTTTTATGTTTTTAGGAAAAGAACTGTGGAGGGTGGGATGATTTGGATTTGTGCTTGTATACTGCTGAGCTACAGAATGCAGAATTAAAAGTTTTGTAATTAATGTTGTAGCTGGGAGCAAGATAGCCGTAACCCATATATTACAACAATGTGAGGCTGTGGCTGACTTTTTTTCTTTTTTCTCCAATGAGTACATCTCTACCAATACCCCCTTTTGGATTAGTGGAATAACTAATCAGTGTACTTGATTTTTCACCTTTGACATGTAGGTACCTGGTCTGACAAGTTCAAAACCAATAAACATCCTCAGGGTTTTTTTTCTGAATTTCATTTGCCCTTAAGAATTAACTGAAACTTAGGAGACAAGTAGTTGTGCTTAAGGAGAATCAAGTTCTGGACTGCAGGATGAGAATTGGAGGTCAAGATTAGTTTATTGGTAGAGCAGTTTAAGGGGAAAAAAAAGCTGTGCTTGCTCTCCCACCCATTTCAGTGATGTTGGTTCTTGCCTTTGCAAGCAATCAAATTCAATTACATGAATTCTTCAAATGATGGAGAACCATCTGCTGAAGTATTCTGAAAAGATTATTTTATTTGTAGCAATAATTCTACTTGCAAATACTGACAAATGCATAGATTTTTTTGGCAGTCAAAATACAAGACAGCTTTTGATAGAGAAGTGGACTTAAGTATCTTAATTTGAAAAGGATAATCTAATACAGACAAAGTAGGGAGCTAAAATCTTCCCAGTCATAATTTTTGCCCAAATCCAAAGGGTTATGTGCAATAATGTAAAGCTTTTAGAAATTGGAATTTTTGTCTTCCGTCATATAATGCAGAAAACACAATTGTTGCAGTATGGTGTGATCAGAGGATAACTAGTTACCCGGGGAGCTGCTACCAGGTTATTAAAGTTGATGCCTATGTACAGAAATGCGTAGGTACATTGATGGGCATGAAAGACAAAAAAGACAAAGTTAGCAGCTCTAGCTACCTAGTCATAATGAGAGGAATTAGATCGGGTTCTATGGGACCAAACCTGGTGAATTCTCACTTGGATAATCTGCAAATGTGGTAATTTACAATTCCTGTGGGCTTTATGCTTCACATGAAAGATTTAAGATAGTATAGTTTACAACGTAGTTGGGTTTTTTGGGTTTTGGAAAATAAAGTATTCTTGTCTAAAGCTACATAAAGCAATTCATACCTGCTAAATTCATATGTATTAAAAAAAAAAGTGGGGGGGACATGCATAACTAATCTCATTAGTTGGTGAGAGCTGAACAACAAGGATAATACTCTTAAGCACATTATTTTATAGATGTATTTAAACTATAAAAATAACGAGAGAAAATTACTTCTACAAGCATATTCTGGAGCCTCATGCTGTTGGTGGCAGAAGGTTGAGTCTGGTCTTCAAAGTACCATAAAATACTTGGGCTTCAGTGTAAGGTCCTCTAATGATTCTTTCAGTTGTGAAAAAATGTGGTAGGATACAGCATGTGAAGGAGTCATTTTAGAATTCAAAGTTAAAAGCTTGTAAGTAATTGCTTTACACAAACATCTAAAAGGTAATATCATGCCATTACTTGATTATGATTAGTCATAATAACAGCCTCTGAATCTGGTGTCCTTTCACTATGGAGGAACATAAATAATAAGTAGTAAACTGTGTGAAATGTCTGAATAATTCTGAAGAGAAGCTACCACTATCATTTAAAGCTTCATAGAATAATTGAAGATGGCGGAGGAAATATCTGAAATGAGTTGAAGTTGCAGAATTTACAATTTTTGACAGCTTTACAATGTGTTTAAACTGTGTGCAGAGATCCTAAGTGTGCTGGAAGATGCTCTAAAACATTTTTAATGGATTTCATCACTTTAAAAAACTCAAGCATTTAAACTGTCAATTTTGTATTGGGTGGTTTTAAAATAATTTGATGTGGAGGGTAAAACCTGAAGAGGCTCTTTGTAATAATCTCCAGCTCTGTTTAGTAGTAATGCGGGGTTACAGTTTTGCATGTGCATGAATGTCAATGTAAGTATATCGTATTTCTACTGATTTTTTTTTTCCCTTTCCCTTTACTATAGATCATAAGTGATATTCAATAGCAGTGCTTCAGTCAAATTTGTTTTGTATTTGATAAATCTGAGAGCCGTCATCTTAATAAGAAAATAATACTGTTTCTTACTATAGAAGTATGTATGTTCAGTGAGTGAGGGATGTCTTAAAGCTAATTAGACCATCTGAGTTTTCAGTTGATGCCAAGCTGGGAACAGTTGTAGGCACTTTCAAGGGCATGCTCAGAATTCAAACTGATCTTGATAAATTTGGGAAACAGGACCAACAGGCTTGTTTCATTGAGTCACAGGTTGCAGATGTCTGAAAAGTTATAGCACCGTAAAAGTAGTAAACTATTTTGGGGGCTATATCAAGAGAGGCATTTGTCTTAATACCTGGAGAGGAAAATGTTAATGCTGGTGATGTTGAGAGATGTAAACAAACTGAATAGTGTTGAAATGGAAGCAACTAGAATGACTTGGTCTTGAAGGTAGAAGGAAAGAGATAGTTTCCCGTGCCCTTAAAGCTTGTCTACAGAACATAGTAGATTATTCTTCTTTGCACAGGTTAAGATTAAAAAGGCTTGTACAGTCTTAAGAAAAATTAAGTATTGGAGAAGGCAACCTAGGGAGGCTGAAATACTCCTTTCTTACTCACTGTTACTGATCTTGCCTTGGAGTGAGGTGAGAGGCTGGATTGTATCCCTAGGGTCTGTGGGTTGGCTGGTCAGCCATGGGTGGTCTGTGGGAAGCTTCCCTCCATTTTCTCCATGAAGGTGGATAGGAATTATCTCATACTATTCTAGGTTCTGGGCACCTCTTGCACCATCTGTGTACAGTCTGTGGCTTAAACATGAAGCTGCTGTTGCCATATCTACACAAAAACAGCCTGCATCATACCTTTCTCATCGTGCCAGCAACGTAGCATTTAGAATTGCTGCATCAACATTTCTTGCAAGGAGGGTCTCAATGAGGATCCAGCACTAGTGCTGACAAGGCTGGGCTGCCCAGGATTAGGTGGTCTCTCAAGGTCGTACACTGACCTTGCATTTTGAAAACCTGAGCCCTGTATTTCTAAGGCTCTTTGACTTAATTATATAATTATGCTGTATATCTTAATGTACAAAAAGAGCTTTAGCCCTTTGAGAGCATGTGCAAACCACTCCAAGTACCTTTTCCCGAAGCATTATTGTTCGATATAGTGGTACTACATGTTCACTGATGGGATTCCAGGGATGCTCTGAGGCATGGTTCCCACCTGAAGAGAAGCACAAAGAGAATAGAATGAATGCTGTGTTATAAATAGTATGTAAAAGTAACTGGTTGTGTTTTTTCTAGGGTATTTGTAACCAGTGACAATGATATTTTAGTATTAATTGGTTTTTCTTCTTCCTACTACCTGCATGTTGGTACCAGAAACTTTGATATGACTCTGGACTGTAGAGTGAGAAGATAAGACTGAAGATGGTGGATCCAAATAATGGTTATTGGGAAGAAGTGGTGGAAAACATAACCAAAAAAAACCCAACAAAAACCAAACCAGTCAACCAGCCACACACCTCAGGAAACCCCCGGACTTTTGGAAGTTGACTTTGAATAGCAATTACAATCAAGTATTTAATGTGGAAACTTGAAGTTTCCCTCTAAGGGTGAACTAGCTGCAAAGATGACTGAAATAATTGTGACACAGTTGATAAGAAAATAATAAAAAAATACAGTAAACAGAAATCTTCTTAGTATATTTTCTCTCTCATAGTCAGTGCTGTACTGCAGATATCAAAAAATAACTGAAGATTTTTTTTTCTATGCACAAGGTTAAATCTGGCTCTTATCAACATCCATGCTAAGACATCAAAGTATAAAGAAATAGTTATATGTATCATACATGAAAAGATGCATGTTCCTTAGTTTGGGGGGTAAGAACTAACTGCTGCCATTGCCTTGCTATCCCCCTCTTTTCTGAATGTAGATCAAGTCCTTTATTTGGCCATTCACCATTGTAAGCCACTTAGAATTTTTTTTTTCCTGGCTGATCCCTTTTTCTTCATTCCTTCTCTATGTAGAAAATATACTGCTTTAGCCTAGGTATATTAAATTGTACTCTTTATACATTATCTGTATATAAGTAATGTAAAATAGACTTATTGGTGATGAGGCATGCTGCCGCTGAACTCAGGTTTCAGTTGAGTTGCGAGGCTAGTATTTACTATGTATTATCTTAGTTGGAAAAAGTACTAGGAAGATTTGAAATGCATTGTGTTGGGCAAAGGTTATTTTTATTTTAGGCTTCTTCCAGAGCTATAGTTTGTCAAAGGGCAGAGTATCAGATCAGGTTGAAGGGGTAATGTTGCCTTCAATTCTCTGTTTGTCCTTTGCATTCAGAGAAAGCTTTTTACAGTGGTTGGTAGGACTTTAGCCAGAGGATGCCAGTTAATTCTAATGGATCTTATATAGACAAATCCCCATACATCAGTTTGCAGAGGTTCCTTTTCAAGTAAAACTTAAAGCAATTTCTCTGTAAATGCTTAGATATTCCAGTGATTGTTCTAACACTTCTGTATGCCTATATTACTTCTGTTATTAGTCGGTTTGCACAAATGTCTGTTTTTTACACAAAGTGATAAACTGAGTTTACAACTATCCTGATAATCCCTAAAAGATAATGAAGTTTGATTCAGAATGGCTGTCAATAACTAGGATGGATCCTGCATTAAACTTTGTCAGATGCAGAAACACAGTTTCAAAAAGAGAATGCAAGTATGTTCTATGAAGTCTGAAGAGTAACGCTTAGAAAAATATTGGGATTATTTGTTGCAAATACTTTTATCTTGAAATCTTGGACAAATACTTCACATATTTTAAGTATCAGAAAAATACAACTGCATTTTCAGTGCATTCATAAAATGCCAGTGAACTGTGGGAGCACTGCTGTTGATTTCTGGTACAGGAGTACCTGGCACAGAGGTGAATGCTTTTATTATAGTTAACGCATCAGTTCAAATTCGTATTCTTGAAGACTATCTCAAAAGCACTAATCTTTCCAATGACAGCCAGAAGGTTTGAGAACAAGCCTGGAATCTCTCTAGTATAGAAAAAGGTGTCAGTCACTTTGTGATGTCTTTACTTGTGCTTTCACAGCAAACGTGTTGTTTTACTTACCTGTCACCTCTGTCATCGCATGCTCCTCTTTTTGATATAACATAAAATACTGTTTTGTCTCTGTACCCTGTTTGAGAGAGAATCTCCCATTACTTTTGATAGAGAACTTTTGGAAGCTGTTAAATTACAAATCTGAAGGTGAGAGCCTGTGTTGTTCAGGCCAGAGTCCACAGCATTTCATATTGTTATCCTTTGCACATAGTTCATGTGATTGCTGTGTGTGTTAATTTACTATGGGCTGGTTATATAACCTTGCTTCATTAAACCTCTTGACTTTGAGACAGTACAAACTTAGGAATTACTTTCATTTATTGTGAATTTTAAATTAATTGCCAGTTCTTTCCTTCCCTTCTAGTACTGTGAGGACATGAACCTGAAATCAACTTTTAGAGTAGAGGCTAAAAAACCAGATGTAGCCTAGATATTATGGTAACTGATACTTTGTAAAGGTTAACAAAAGAAAACATTCCCTAAACCCAAAAAGTGGTTGTGTATGCATTCTTGCAGTAGGTAAATACAGGTAACTTGAATATAGCATAAAATAAAAGTGGAGGGAGAGAGCCAGGAGCAAGATTGTTCTTAGCAGGAGCAAGGCATGGAAGTGAAAGGAATAAAAGAAGTGGTGTGTGTCTGGGGGGGGAATCTAAGCATTTAGATTTCATATTTCTGTAGTCATTGTCTTACAGTTTCTTGAGTTGTACTTGAAATTAGTAATTTATCCCAGCATCTCACACAATTTAATTATCCCAGTTAAAACATTTGTTTTGAAATATTCCTGAGATAACGCAGGTGCTTCCAGCTGTAGGAGACAGAGTGTATTTTAATTCATTGTGGGTGTTGTAAGCAGCTAACTTAAGTTTATTTCACTTAAAAGTAGCTACTACTGAGTCTTTTCACAAAAGGATCTGGGTTTTTTTGCTAATGATTAGTCATTTATTGCTCAGTTTGCATGAATGCTGTGTAAATTAAGGAGAATTTTCTGTGTTTTGCCTTCAGACGTTATTTCTTGGAACTAACTAAAAGTAATAGCCAAAGAACAAGTGCTAGATATGAGATTTGCAGCCAAATGTTGTAAAATATCTAGCTGCTCTTTATAGTGGGCTCTTATTTCCCATAATGCAATCAAAACTTCTGCTGCATTTACAACAAGAAAACAGGACAGAGCACAGTGTTCTGGAGCAGTCAAAAATCAAGTTGTGATTTCAATAGATTCAACTCTGAGTATATAACAAACTTTTGAATTTAGTAAAATAATGCCTAAGGAACTTTATTCATTTTGGAGCGAGGAAGATCTTACAAATATTAAATATCTTTGCAGGAACACTTAGTCAGTCTGGATGAGCCAGCCTCGGAAGCTGGACAAGAAGCTCTGCTTAGACAAGAGCAAGCAAAAATCATTCGTTTTGAAAGGCAAGCGGAAGAATTCCTCAATGCAGTCTTTTACAGAAAAGGTTGGTTTTAATGGCGGTGGGGGAGATGGTATCTTTGCATGCAATGAAGATACCAAAGATCTGACATTCGAGTTATCATTGTATATTCAATATTTTTCAGTTGTCATATATTTCTCAAGAGTAAAAATTGACTCTCGGATAACGTAGCAATACAACAATGTGGGCTTGGGACAGAGGAAGAGAGTATAACATTTAAAATAAATCTCTCCATGAGAACGCTGGTGTATTGCACTTCTGGAGGAACGACTCAGTTCTTGTCCAGCAGAACTGCTTCCCTGAAACTAATGTTTAAGTGAGCGGGCTCTTTGGAAGGAGAGACGAGTGGTGGTGTATGTTTTTTGTGTGTTTTTTTTCTACTAATTTATTTATTTTCTTATTTTAATGGGAACCGTACTAATGCAGTTTTCCTTAAAGGTCAGCAGTCTTCTCACTGTGGTCTATAGTGATTACGCACCCACTTCCATCAATCCACAGTATAAAATATTGTTGGAATAGAGCTAAGGGGGATATATGGAGAATTCAAAACACGATCAGCAAAAGAATTGGAAAATTAGTACCGTAGAATATGCCAAGAACAATAACAGTAGCTCAGTGCTAGAAAATCCTCTAGGTCTCCTCTGGAGAGTTACGTCAGTTAAACTGTGCTCTTAGGGATGCCACAAAACTCATTTCACTGTTTTCTACCCATCTGGGAAATGGGAATCCAGAGGTTGCTTCCAAATGCATCTTGAATGAAAGTACATCGTACTTATCAGTCTAACCCATGTGTGAGAAAATCTGCCAAATCAGTAATTCCAACCTGTCTGCTGGGGGACAATGTGAGGCTTCAGTTTAACAAATTAGAAATTGCTGTAGCCAGTCCTCAGCCCTTCCTCCCAGTAACCAAAATATTTAAAGGTGTTTTAAGTAGATAACAGTATCTTAGCCTTTCTTTTATGGCTCGAACAAATACAAACTGTACATGATGATGTATTGCGCAAAGTATAGAAGCATGTAGGAAGGGTAGTTATTACATTACTACTGATAGTTCAGATAATGCTTTTATTCCAAGTCTTTCTTTTCAGTTTTTATGTTTTGTTTTGTTTTTTTCTTTTAAAGTTTCCTCTTGTTTTTAGATTTATCCCATCTCTTTAAATCCAGAAGGGTTTTAAGAAAACAAAAAATCTAGAGAAAACCTACTTTTTTCCATATTGCTTCTCTGGTGAGGAAAAAAAAAAAATGCAGTTCCATTACTTCCAAATTCTTTATTAAAGACATCATCCCTTTAACACTGTGCTTATATTTTTAGGTATGACCTGTGTTTGTATCTTATTAGAAATGTATACTTTCCTAATTGTTGGAAAACTATTGGCAGATATTGCAGTGTGCTAATGAGGGGTTTCACACTCTATCTGTTGTCAGATACACAGAATGAAGATAATGAAATCCCTTCAGATTTCTAAGCATCTTTGAGAATTTTTTTTAGTACACTCTTGCTTTTCTTCCTCTGACAGAGCTGTGCTTGGTGCAGATGTAACAAGGGAGGGGAAAAAGCCTGGCAGGAAGTCAGTTCTGTATCCTTAATGCATCATTGTCAAGCTTGGCTGTATTTGGGTTGCTTGAAAAGTTATTCTAACTCATGACACTGCCATAAGATCCCCAAGCACTGTCATACCAAAGAGGACACAAAGAATGGCAGCACTCTGACACTCCTATGTTGCTCAGAGATGCTTGGCGCTCAGCGTTTCATGCCAGCGATGAGTTCTTTTTTTTTCTTTCTTTCCATCCTCACTGCCAGTAACATTTGAGACTGGTGTTTTGTAGCTGAGGCAGGTCAGAGGAAATGCAGATGTTCTGCGAACAGATGCCTGTTGGGTGTCAAGGATGTGCATTCATGCACCCAACACACACAGGTAGTGAGCCGCATCAGCAAACTTTCTGAACAGGTTTACTGTCCATTAATCTTACGTACTTTCTCTCTGCTTTGTGCCCATGGCACTCTGACTCAGTAATGTTTCTTTCAAATGTTCATACTTTCCAGAGAAAGCAGAGTGGTAATAGCTGGTTGTCTCTTACCTATACCCTGTGGCAGGATAGGGCCTTCTTTTGATGGTTTAATGAAATCCATGCTTTTTTTTTTTTTTTTTTTTTGATACTGCCCTCCTAAGTTTTTGGCGTAGATAAAATATGCAAAAAGCTATCAAAGTTTTAAAACTCAGACTTACTGCTTTAGACTATTTATAGCTGATAAATTTGCTGTATCTTTCTTCTCTGAGAATCTCTGTTTTAGTTAATTTCATTTATTTTTTTAGAAAAACCCTAGACACTTAAGGTCAAAATAAACATCTGGTTGATTTAAAGTGATGCTGCAGAGGCATGAGCAAATATTTTGCACTTGCTTTTGAGCAGTTTTAATCCTTAGGATTCAGGCTTTGTATTAAGCAAGAAGCTTTTAATGTGCTACGTAACTACCCTTCAGGTTGAAAATTGAGTTTTGTGTCCTGAATTAGATAGTTTATCTTGAGCAGCACTAGAAAGCTGTCACTTGTTGCTCTGTGTTGATTCTTTGAAGTTGCAGATTATAGCAGTAGGCATGTATAGTATTTTCTCCCTGAATTTTGAAATACGTTCAGTTCTAAGCATTACTGAACTGTACGTATGAACATAAAGGCACAGTAAAGGCATGATTCTTCTTCTGAAAACATAGGTGCCAGTGCTCTGCATTCCTGCCAGCCCCACTTGTATACACTTAAAGCATGTGCCAAATAGTTGGCATCAGTGTGATCATACTATTTGTTTGTGTCCCTCTGGGCTTTCCTAGAGCCTTTCACATGTCCTTCAGCAGGTTATGGTAGTGAGTTTAGAAAATGGAAGAAATGTCACCATAGCAGAAAAAGCCTCCATGCTTCTCCAGGCTTGTGTCCTTGTGGACCATTTGGGAAGAAAATGAGAATATAAACATACCTAAAAATAAAGTTTGGCTCATCTCTTGATTTCTTGAAACTCTAGTGCCTCCTCCTTAGCAACAATAAAATATCCTGTAGATTTTACAAGAAAATGATTAAGTATTTACATAACCATCTCAGAAATTTACAGCTACTATACCTCTAAGAATACGTATACTGACTGTATAAAGTCTTATATTTAGAAAGCTGTACTTAACAAGAAAGAATTTGGGCCTGATTAAGTATTTAAAGCTCAGTATGGTTTTTCATCAAGAAACACAGTAGCTGCTTACTGCCGCTCTCTAGTTTGTGGGCAACTACATGCTCAAACCTTCATGTCAATCATCCTTTGCAGATACTATAAAGCTGGTTTGTTGGATTGATGCATTTTTGTCAAAAGTGGTGGTAAAAGGCAAAAGTGCTGAGATGTCCCAAAGAAGATTTTGCTAATGCTTCTAATAGTTCAATCTCAATAGATTACCTTTCAACCTGAGCAATTTTTTTAAAGAGGAAGTAAACACTTTACTATTGTTCTGTTTTGAGAGCTGCTTTTAAAGATTTGTTTGGTTTTCTACTGCACAATTTTCTCTGAATGTTTCTTCACAAATACAGAGTCAAACCTTTTGAGCCATTTCTGGAGGAGTTGCGGATTTGGAGTTTCATTTTGATTTTTTTTTTTTTTTTTTTTCTTTTTACCCTGATTTGACCAGAGAATAGAAGCAGTGTTTGAGGTGAAGTGGCAGGACTTAGCTTCTGTGATTTAGGAGTTACAGATTTGCTTTGAAATCACAAATTACTACTAGTCTAAAATAGTGGTTTTTGCCAATATATTTTTTGGTTGGCCCACATTCCCAAAGACCTTTGTATTTATGCACTATTTCATATAAATAAGTTAGAATATTTACCTGTTCCATTACACATTTCTTGCTGATAGATTTAGCAATGTTTAGCAATATTCTATTTCTAGAAATAGAATTACTTTTCATGTGACACATCTTATTTTTTTTGTATATATGAAAGCTCTTTGAGTAATACCTGGTGTTGCATTGAATATAAAGATATAAATGTCAAAAAGATTAGATAGAATGGGATGGAAGACACTTGAACGTTTGATCTTCGTCGATTATTTTGAAGGATCAGAACTATAGGGCTTTATTTCCCAGTAAATTTGCAGGGGACTGCTGCAACTCTATTCCCCCTTCTCCCCTTCTGTAGCTTCAGGTAAGTTGCTCAGTTCTTCCACTGAAAGCCTGTTCAATTTTTTTGGAATGAGCTTCATTATTTGGTACTCTTGTTCATGAGTCCAGCTCTCCTTTTCATTTATACACCTCTTTAAGGTCTGGTCAAATATATCTATATTTGAAAACAAAAGATGAGATTGCATATTTCTCTTAGAAACCTGTTATTTGGGGAAGGTTATACCAGAATCAGCAGTGGTTCTTGAATTTATTCTAAGACTAAAGTACATTTTATACAGAAACTATTTTATCTTTGACTTTCGTGTTTTGTTTTGTCTTTTTGTTTGGTTGGTTGGTTTTGGTTTGTTTGTTTGGGGTTTTTTTTTGTTTTTTTTTTTTTTTTCCAAGTAAACAATGACTTAATATAAAAGCTGTTTTACTTAAAGTGCTTCCTTAAAAAAAATCTCTAATATTTACAGACAGTCCTAGGGTCTCTGACCCTAATATTCCCCTAGTGGCCCGTGAGATCATGCAGCGAATGATCCGACAGTTTGCTGCTGAATATACCTCAAAAAATAGCTCTACTCAGGACTCCAGCCAGCCCAATAGCACAAAGAACCAAAGCCTGCTGAAAGCATCTCTGGTCGCCTCCTCTCCCACGGCTGCAACTGCTCAGAACCCTGTGCTCAGCAAACTTCTCATGGCTGACCAAGACTCACCTCTGGACCTTACTGTCAGAAAGTCTCAGTCAGAACCTAGTGAACAAGGTAGGACTCTTATCAGCGTCTTGCATCCTACGGCATCCGTAAATGGCATTCTTGTTGCAAAACCTAACAATTAGAAGTTTGCACTTTTAAATAAAATGTAAAGTGGAAAAACAGTAGATGTTTTTACAATGAAATGATGACTAGCTAGGTGTGGCTGGGAGAGAAGACACTTTTTGAAAGAATGTAGGCCCATAGGCATGAGAGATTTTTCTGAAGAGGGGCAAAGGGGATGGATGGGCTCCAAAGTCTGAGGATGAGTGTGCTGTTCCTGCTGGGAGCTGTAAGAAACAGTCTGCCAAAATAGACTGTATGTTTGCTGATAGACAAGTTCATGTGGTCATGAAAACCATGATGTTTTGTCTCCTTTCCGAAGATCAGTACACAGTCTGACTGAAGGACTTTTATTTTCGTTCTGGTCTTAGTATGAAAACAGTATCTTTTAAAAAATCTATGAGAAAATTGCTTTGTAAAGGCTGTAAAAATGATACCCATGAACTGTACAAAGCTTCCAGGTTTATGTATTTGGAAGAAATGTCTCTTTTCTACCTTAAAAATAGACTTGTTCTGCCGAGCACAGATTGAATAACTTGTAACAGTGTTGCAGAGCTTGTTTTAATTTGAAAACCTTGCTTTCTATGAAAAATGTTTTTAACAAGCAAATTGTATGAGTGACTACAGTATGTGAATGGGTTTTTTTGTTCTCTGAAATTGTTGAATAGAGGTTATCATAAGTGTATCCTACTGATAGGATTAAAATTAGCCCCTTTACCCTTCTTTAGAAATGTGTTAGCATCTGAAATCATTCTATCAAATACAAAGTAGGCTGTATATCCTCAAGTAGAAAAAGTGCCTTAAAAAAAAAAAAAAGCCTTTTGCTAGCTTATACAGAATTTAAGAGATCCCTTTATTCTTTGAATTTATGTCTATGAAGCCTTTTGTAAAAAGGTTAATTTTATGTATCCAACAATATGCAGGTTGGGTGTCTGGACACTTATTGCACTTACAGCATTTACTGAAAGTTGTCGTCACACTACAGTTATAAAACTGCAGTGAAAGGTTGTATAGTGTTTTATTTGAAGTGGGGACCTATACATTTAGCTGATAGATATTTGTTTCTAGCCAATTTTATAAATGTATTTCATGAGTGTCTTGCATACATGATTTAAAATGTTAAACTGTTCTCATTGTGAAGAGAGAGAATCAGTTTTGCTTCTGTTTGGTTGTTATTTTTTAAATTAGAGGATTGTATGGTGAAGAAGAAAGCATGTACATGAGCTGTTCTTTAGCTACCACGTGATGAAAAAGCTGTAAGATAATTTATAATGTTCATAACACTTGTTATGGAATTAGAACATGTGCATATTAACTTATACAGTAATCTGTTTGCTGATTTAATTATTTTTTTCCAATTTACATTTAATGTAATTGGGAAGAGGTTTTGCCAAACTTGTTAATGAGGGATTTAAGAGGCTGTCATGAAAGACTGCTAGTGCTGCTTATTGTTATGCTTCTATTCTAGTGGGTGGAGGGGAACCCAGCTAGTTGTAAACTTGTCCATGGTGTGTGAGGCTGGTTCTGCTTGCCCTCAGAGACTTCTAGGTCGTAATGACCCTTCTGGTGGAGGAAGAGTGGATGCAAATGCCTCTGGCTGCAGCCTGAGATGTTTAGTGTAGCCTCTTGAAAAGGAGGTGCTACTTGATCCAGTCTCTGTATCTTGTGGCTGCATAAGTGTTGCTCAAAAGAAAGATTGAATTCTTTCCTTGCCTAAGTTTGGGTTATGGTGTGTTCCCAAATGCAGTGGGTGGAACAGCTTTCCATAAGTTAATTCTAGTTCACTGTTTATCATGTTTTTTCACCATATGTCAAATGAGAACTTTAAGCAACTGAAAGCCATCTTACATTGTTCTTGTGTTGGGTGGTATTGACTTGATTAGACGGAGTGAGCAAGGAGCTCTGAAATGTCTCTAGTTTACCTTGTCAACAGGTTTCATTTATCTTTGCCTGGTACATTCCTTGTTTCAAAGTTTTCAGGAATTTCAGATGGCTGTGCTGCTTCTATGACTATGTTGCCTGTGTTAAAATGACCAGGATTTAAAGTTCTTTCAGTGCAGTGGGACAAGGCTTTTCTATCAGAAAAGCGCTTCCTTTTCTGTTGCCTAGAAAATGCAGTTTACATAAGGGCTTGCAGAGGAACATGGGTGAGTGTGAGGAAGTGCCATTGGTGAGAATGGAAGAAGCAGTCTAGCAGGAAAAAAATATTAGTGTATGGAAGAAGAGAGGGAGCAAAATGGCACAATAGAGAGGGGAAATGCAGGAGCTTTGCCAGTAGGGACCCACTGGAGACATGGAAAAAAGGATGAAGATAGCTGCCAGGTGAGGGGGAGTCTTACATTTGTGTGTGTTCATTTGAAAGTGAGTTTCCAGTATGAAATTCTCAATTAATTTTCCTACAGAGATTTGAATCAAAAAAAATCATATGCTGGCTTAAAGCCCCCCTTTAAGGGGGGCAATATCTGAGGAATTTGAAGATTCTATCATTTTGGGACTGCTGAGGGTTAGTTATACAATAGGCTGTGTTATATCTTGAACTGTCATTTGTAGGTAATCCTTTAATCTCTGGCTCTCATAACTAGTGCACTTTTAATTTTGCCAATTGTGTTGTGACTTCTGAGGGCTATGTTGAAGTCCCTTGTAATCCACATTACAAACAAATCCAAGCCTTTGTTTGTTTAAAAATAAAATAAAATAGAAAATGCTGTGTGCTAAATATAACTTTAGTCCAAAAGGCTTGTTTTGTCAAGGGACAATGTGACTGATCCTGCTTCTTCAAAGACTGAAGTTGTTCTTTTGTCTCTACAGACGGTGTGCTTGATTTATCCACCAAGAAGAGTCCTTGTGCCGGCAGCACCTCTCTGAGTCATTCTCCAGGGTGCTCCAGTACTCCCGGAAATGGGTAAGAGAAAGCAACTTACTATGACCTCCTAAAATTGTTTTTTACTAAAAATGTGTGCTTACCTCCTGTTAATTTTAACTTACTTTTGGTGTTAACCCTTTAGAGTAATGTGTTTTTCAACTTGTACCTTTGGCAAACACCTTCACCCTACCTGCCAAATAAGAGTTGTTGCAAACTGAGACAGGTTTAACTTGCAGTGAAGAACTCTAATATCTGTTATTTTGGCCCATTTAGTACTTAGTCAAAAATATTTCCATTACCTGTTTCTTGGATTTAGTGATAAGTGATGTCTGTGGAGATGCAAGCTCAGTTAAATATAAGATTTCATTTCACTTAGGGGAAAGTTAGCTAACAGGGAAGTTTATTTGAGGGGTAGCGATGATTTGGGTGATGAACCAAACTGAATTAGATTTGAGTCACTGCATGTTTTTGTTAATATTTCCTACCATAAACCACAACTTTAAAAAAGGAGAGCAGCTGGGAGGAGTCTGGTAGTTCAGAAGACTTTAAATATGGCTTTTTGGATTTGCAATTGTACTGTAAGAGTGAACAGTTTAAAAAAAAAAAAAAGTGATTGTACTACTCCTTGTCTTAATTAGTTCAAGGTGTGAAAGAATGTTATATCAAAAAATTTCTTTTAGGTTTCATATTACTAATGGTCACTGTTTGCATACATTTAGAAACCCTTTATTCTTAGGACTGAGTTAATTGTAAATGGAGAGGCTGACTGGGAGTAAGAGGGATTTTGGGTGTTGATGGGAGAATTTTATCTTGAAGCTACTGTGAACAAGTCTTTTTTTAGTGAAGTAGAGAAACAGTATATGGTTTAGACTCCAATTTAATTGCTGGATTTAGCTTTGATAGCCTTTGGAAAAACTGAAAATTTTAAACTAACAACCCGCTACCACCAATCCCATGTGCTGCTAACAACTGATTTAACTTCTGCATTTCTCTTTGGAAAAACATTACTGTCTCAGATTTATTCTGTCAAGATTACTTTTTCCATTTAATATATCTATTAATAAAATACTTCAATCCTTGTCTAAAAGTTAGTACTAATACTTTTTCACAATTCTTTAGCATAAACCTTCCTCACCAGCTCTTCTTTCAATTCTGAGCAGATTATTTCCAACTTTATTTTCCTAGGAAGGGAGCAGAAGCCACCGAGGCTGTGTATTGTTTGTTCCCTTGTTTGTGTATCAAGTGAGGGCCAAAGTCCAACACACAGGGATGGCAGGGCCATCATCTGGCACTGTCTGATCAGTCTGGTGGGTCCAGTGAGGATGTGGCATGCTGGTACCTGTGGTGACTTCTACAGGTGTGTGGTATCTGAGAGTGGCTGCAGGCTGTTTAGCATCAATGAAATCAGGTGTGACCCTTTGTCCTAGTAAGCTGCCAGTGTGACCTTTATTTAGGTGTAGAGTTACTGGTGCGCATTCTGATGCTGATACATGTTGCAGAAGGGGCAGAGAAGGCATATTGCTTGAGAGAGTTCTCTGGAATCGTAAACTTTCATTCATTAATCTGGATTTTGTTCTGAATCCTTGTTGACTCTTGTTACCCACTTCAGCTATGGCCTGTTGCATCCTGGAGAGAAACTAGCAGTGTGTGTATCAAGCACTGTGTATGTAACATGCCAGGTCCTTTCAGTGGATGTCTTTTCTCTAAAGACTAGTTTTGGTTTGGTTTGTTTTTGTTTGTTTTTTTTTTTTTTAATCCATGTGTGATGTTAAAAAAAATAATGTAGCTTATCAGTAGTATATATGCTATCCTCAAATAACGCTGATTTAGCTAGAGGGCTTTACACCAGTATAGTGTCCCAGAACATTAAAATAGAATTGCTTACTAGTCTCTTTGTTAATCTGTATATTGAACATGGAGAAGTTTGGAGGTGGATTTTGAAACTAGTGTGATTTAGTTACTGCAGGGGGCTAAGCAAGCAACCATTAAAATACACGTGTTTATCTGCAGTAGTAGTACTTTGTGTCATAGGAAGAACACTTGTGATGAAAGGAAAATGTTGAAAATACATACCACTTTTTCTGCTATTAACCCTTGATCGGGATGACAGTTAGAGCTAGAATCTTTTTTTTCCCTAGCCGTGCTATGTATCAAATGAGAATCAGGGACGTGTATATAAGCAATTAGTTGTTAAGAGAGCAATTTGGTAAGTCTAGTGTGATGTGGTGTTTTCCTTTGTGATCTGCAGTATCCCAGCTTTCATATTTGGTGCTTAATGAAAGTCAAGCAAATACCTTTGAGGCCTGTTAAGCTTTTTTTTTTTTTTTTTTTATCCTGAGCAGCAATTCTTCAATATGATGTAAGCGAACACCAGCCAAGGTTTCCACCTACGTGTAGATACTGCAGGTGGCAGTCACATTTGCATGTTGAATATGTTGCACTTTGGCTTACTCTTTTATTACTGTACTTGTTTAGTGGTAACGTCACACCAGTAACACAGTTGTGTGTAGATCTATGGCGATTGATTACTACTTTGTAATTAAGGTGCTATTTTCAGACGCTTGCGCGAAGTCTTTTCTACTCCGAGAATTTGTGAACCCAACCAGAGACCAGCCAACAGGTTTCACTTTTCTTTGCCCAAAAAGCTTCTCTTTTTTTGCGAACAAGTTTTAAAACTGACTGATGCTGAGACTTAAAAAAAAAAAAAAATTAAAATAAAAAAATAAACTAAAAAAACCAAAAATTTAGAGAAAAATAAATAACACAAAAAGTGATGTTACCCAAGCAAGGCCTTCTAATAAAGGAGTGGCCCCCTCACCCATCCCTCCCTACCTGTGCAAGTCCTGCTCACATCAGTTTCCTTCCATCCAATTAGGCGACCTGGGAGACCCAGCCAGCACCATCCGGAGGGACTACAGAGTGGTGATGGGGTACCTCCAAGAAGCTTGCAGGATGGAACCAGGGAAGGTTATGGCCACTCCACATCTCTTAAAGTACCGCTGGCTCGATCACTCCAGATTAGTGAAGAACTGCTGAGCAGAAACCAGTTTTCTACAGCTGCCAGCCATGGGCCTTCTGGACTACAGAATCATGGACAGCACTTAATATTATCCAGGGAGGCTTCTTGGGCAAAACCACACTACGAATTCAATTTCAGCCGCATGAAATTCAGGGGAAATGGTGCACTCAGCAACATCAGTGACCTTCCTTTTCTTACAGAAAACTCTGCCTTTCAAAAAATGGCACTTCAAACTAAACAGGATGGGAAAAAGGACGTGAGCCATTCGTCTCCTGTGGATTTAAAGATACCACAAGTTCGAGGCATGGACCTTTCATGGGAGTCCCGCACTGGTGACCAGTACAGCTATAGCTCTTTGGTAATGGGTTCACAAACGGAGAGCGCACTTAGCAAAAAGTTAAGGGCTATCCTTCCAAAACAAAACAGGAGAAGTTTGCTGGATGCTGGACCAGATTCCTGGGGCTCAGATGCTGAGCAGTCTACCTCTGGACAGCCATATCCCACCTCAGATCAAGAGGGAGATCCTGGCTCCAAGCAACCTAGGAAGAAAAGAGGGAGATACAGACAGTACAACAGCGAGATACTAGAGGAAGCAATTTCTGTGGTTATGAGCGGGAAAATGAGTGTTTCCAAAGCTCAGAGTATTTATGGGATCCCCCACAGTACACTGGAGTACAAAGTTAAAGAGAGGCTGGGCACTTTGAAAAACCCTCCAAAGAAAAAAATGAAATTAATGAGGTCGGAGGGGCAGGATGTTTCAGTAAAGATTGAATTAGATCCCCAGGGAGAAGCAGCACAAAGTGCGAATGAATTGAAAGACGAGTAGGGATGTTGTAGAGTGCCAATTACTTTGCAAACTGGGTGAGCACTACTGCATAGTTCAACCACCACTGAGCGCACCTGATTCTCCTATTTACTGCAATGCTCTTTCCTTTGCAGTTTAGCATAGACTTGTGTGGACACAGGCGAAAGGTGTGCTCTGAATGTCACATTTGTAAATTTTTCTAGCCTGGTATGGTGCAGTTTCCCTCCTTCGTCACTACTCCCCCTTCTTTTTTTTTTCTCTCTTTCTTTTTTTCTTTTGCCTTTTGCATGTTTCTCTGTAATAGAGAGTTGAGTTACCTCACAAAGAATGCAGATCTGTGGAAGTGGACATCTTGCCTGTAGAGCTTGCCTGAACTTCTGGTGTTGGATTTTTCATGTCTGCCTTTATAGAAATAAGTCCACTTTTTTAAACTGATACTCTCCTAAAAACAGGCATTTTTCAAATGAGAATCAGACTGTCATTCTTCAAAATGTTTCAGAAATCTTTTTTCCCCCTCCTTTTCTTTGATCCAGTTGATTAAAAGATTTAAGCTAAATCAAGTTACTTAAAAATGGTACCTCTCTTGAACTCAGAGATTTGTTTATTAGATGGATAATCAATTGGGTCTAATTAGGCTCTCCACTGTTTTCTTTCTAAATTAAACATACTTACCATTCACTGTCTGCTTAGTGCTCACCCGGAGGGGAGGGGCGGGGAGGGAAAACTTACATACACTACCTTCAGAATATGTCAGTTAATTATTTGTAACACTACCTTCGCTGTAATTTTGTTTGATATTTTTGAAGGGTGATATTTAGACTCACCTGCTTGAGGATGTAGCCTTATCTCACGGAAGACAAGCTTCTCACAGTCAGGAGCAGTCAGGGTACACTAAATGATGTATTAGGGTATGCCTCATTATAACAGAACTATGGTTCTTTGTGACCTTTATGCTTTTTACAGACTTGATTCTGAGTTTACTAAACTAAGTGGTTCCAACAACTAGTTTAAATGACTCTAATCTGGGGGAGGGGGATTTATGTAACAAACTACTGTGATACTGCAAAAAAAAAAAAAAAAAAAAAGAAAAAGGAAAAAAAAAAAAAGGAAAAAAAAAAGCCCACAAAACAGTGATCTCAAACGTTACAACCTCAGTAGTCTGCCCAAATATCCACATTAGTGAAGGAGCTTGTTAATGTTCAGGGAAGAAGTAAAACACTGGTAGCCTGATCTAATTCAGGCTCTGCATCATATCTATCTGTAATACTGTCAGGGTCGAACACTCAATGAATGGGTGTTTCCTTTTTAAATATTACAGTTGCCAGTAGCAGGAATTAATCTAAGTCCTGCTTTTTTGTTGTTGTTTTTATTTAATCTATTTTGATAGTGGTTTAGCACATGCTGGAATAAGCATTTAAACACCGTAAAAGCACTCCATAAACCACACATCCAGTTTTGGTTTTTTGTTTTTGGTTTGTTTTGGTTTGTTTTTTTTGGTTTTTGGGGTTTTTTTAATGATGATATCGTTATCATTATATGGAGATCCAGGATAAATTTTGTACAGAACTTTTATCTTTAATACTTTCTGCAGGAGTGGTCAGTAACTAGGTGGAGCTTACTGGATTTACCACAGTATGACCAAATCAGAATTGCTGATTCTTCAGGTAGAAACAATTTGGTCTTAATCTGTGCAAAAGGTAGATAGAATTACCATTTTTTTTTCCCATTTGCACAACAAAATGAAGCATTGGAGTTTTTGTGTGAGAGCATTAAGTGATGTCAGTGATTGAAAGTAGTTTCTCAAAGTTCATGGGAGGGTGGCCTAGATATCCCTAGGGATGCTGAATGATTTCTGGAACAGTTGATTCTATTAGCCTCTCCCCCTCCCCAGCAACTTCATATTTTCAAAGGTTAGGCACACCATTGCTGTCATTTTAAATATGCACTGCTCATTCTTGAAACGGACTGGGCATTTGGCCCCAAGTATACTTTGGTTTTGTTTACTTAATATATTGTAGTACTCAGAATCCTGGTTCCTCGTAGCTCTCTAGTTGTCATCTTGGCATTTAAGCAGTTTAAGCTCAGTAGCAGTATATAAACTCTGCAATACATTCCAGTTTAGCTGGTGATTGCAATAAAGGCGCAGTTAAACGTGTGGTTTCATCTGCTGTTGGAGGTTATGGTAGAAAGTTTGCTGCAAGTTTGAAAAAAAAAAAAAGTAACACAGTTTTACTGTTTAGAGAGGTTTAACCTTTTGCAGTTGTCTTTATTTAAGCAACATGAGTTGAGTTTTATAAAACTTGTCACTGTAGTGTATGTGGGGTGCTCATTTTACTAACCTAAATATTTTGTATGTGTATGTTTAAGTGGGTGACAATCGTGCAGCAGAAGAATGGTGTGCCTACCCTTTAATGCTGCAGTTTTAAAAGAGAATTTGTCTTGTCATTTCAGACTGTAGGCTAAGAATTGTAAATAGATAGTGAGAAGTTGAGTACTCTTTATTTGCTTTGGTTAGAAAGTGGATTAAAAAAAAAAAAAAAAAAAAAAAAACAACAACAAACCAAACGTGTAACTTTCTCAGTTGAAATGTCCTGAGACCTGAAGATTGTAATACTCATGTCTGCAAAGCTTTTAAACACAACACTTGATCTGTGATAACTTAATATTCAGGTAATCTTTCTTTTTCGAGAAGCTTTTGAACAACCATATTTCCTCCAAAGGTCTCTGTTTAAAAAGGAAAAAAAATAAAAAAGTGTAGATTATTTTTTAAGCACTAATTGCATTACATTGGTAACTGCAATATGAAATAGCCATTATTGTTTTGTGAAGCATGGTTGAGATTAGTTAGTGGTCCCTTTTTAAAATTTCATGAGCCTCTCAAAAAATAAAAACAAATTTAAAAAAAAGCTGCTGAATATTCAAAAGATATATATTTTACCTTATTGTAGGTTTTGTAAATTTAGTCTGTAATATTCAGGTGCACCTTTTAATGTTACCTTTTTGTTTCAAAGTCCCATCTAATGTATTTTCTCTGAGGTGATTCATCACATAAGACTAGTATCACTCTAAGTGCTGCAGTGATCACTAATGTTTTGTTTCATTTTTCACTACATATTTTTTACAGGCGCTTTTCAGTGTAGCTAACTAGTAGTATTTGAGATCATTTTAAATATATGATTGAAATTAATGTTTGTCCATTAGCATGCTTAATTTTCTGCTGACCAGCAGTTTGCATGGCCAAAACCCCTGGTTGACCATATTTTGGTGTGGGAAGGTGTGGTTCACTGCTGTCTTTGTAACAAAAGCTTTGTTTCTCACGTTATTTCTGGTAAGTGGATGCTTATGTTACTTGGATCACTTGGACAGGAGAGAAGATTTAAAATCTTTCTCCTGCTACTCTTTTGAGATCGCATTAACGTGTAACATAGACAAACTGCAACCCTGTAAAAATCGAGATGTCGTTAGGAGGAGGCCTTTCGGGTATTTTTTGTCACTAGTTTTCTCTTATTCCCGAGAATGTCCATCAGATGTAGTTATTGGACTTAACAGTATTGTTGTGTACTACGTTGATGTAGCTGAAAAAGCCTGACAGCAAGAAACTGTGAATAATATTTGTGGCAGTCTCTGAAAACTAGTTTTTCAGTCCAAGTATCATGAAGGAGAATCCCTCTCCCCTACCCCATCCTAGAAAAGTAATTTTATATTTTGTGTGTATAAAGTTTTAAGAATCAAGTTTCATATTGTACTGAAGTTTAGGTGTCGCTTGGTAAATCTTTGCTGCAGCATATAATTGAAGATGAGTAAGGCTTAGTGTGGTAGGGGTCCTGGTGTGGAGTTAATTATCGTACAGTTCTGGTGAGAAAGCCCAACATGTATGAAATGTGTCCTTTTTTTTATTTGGACTTGTAAGATGTAAAAGTGCTTTTTTAGAACTCTGACCTATTACAAACTATTACCTCACTTTCAGCCAGCTGGATCCTCATTCCACAGTGTTGTAGGCATTATTGTGGCCGTAATGCTTGAGTACAGCTATAGAGTTGAACGTTTCCAGTTAGATATTGTAAGGACACGTTTCTGGACTCTTTTTTATTTCTGTCAAAAGATATTTTATTTTCCAGTCGTTCCCTGATTATTTTTTTTTTTTTAAGCTTAAGACAGTTTCCTTTAGAATTTATCTGTTGCACAGGAGAAGTTGCTGCATAAGCAATACAGGTATGCCTTTACTTTCTTCCTGTTGGAGAACTCATAATTCGATGCTTGCATTACCAACCCTATTGCTAGACCTGAAGTCAGAGTCTGAATTTTCATGGCAACTAGAAAACAAATTATTTTTAATAATGCAGGTGTACAAGTAGCATAGTACCTCTAGTCAGGGAACACGTTCAGCTTCTGTATTCTCACACAATTCCTATACCACCTTTTTTGTGGAGCTTTCCAGTGCTCAACGGTATTCCTAAACATGGGAGGCAACTGCACATGTGTTTAGACCGGTTAAGAGCAGACAAGGAATAGTCTGTGCTTTGTCTTGTGACAGGCCGACATTTGAGTCTAAATATTTCTTTCATGAGAGCCTGAGAGTACATTGCTTTTGCCTGGAAATTCACAGGAGCTGGCAAAGTGATTCAGGGGCTTTAGGGTTGAGTATGCTTTGTATAGATTGGAACAACTTTTTACTTCTGATTGAATTGCTTTTTGTATCATCTGCAACAATTGTTACACAGGCAAAACTGGAATTACCATGTGGTTTCTTTCCAGTTTACTTTGAAGTAATGCTCTTAAGATGTCCTTGAGTCTTAGGAGAAGAACACGGTGTCCGATGAGTGAAAGGAACACTGTGCTGTTCCCCTTGTTTCTCAAAAACAGTGTGGCTACATCTGTAATGTAAAGAGCTCTTTCTTAAGTGAAGACAAAATTTTAACTCTCCAGTGTAAGAATGCATATACTTGTTGCAGTCCAAACTCTTCCGAAGGCAAAGTTATTAATCTATACTGAAAGCTTTGTCACAATATTTTAAATAGCTCAAATTCTCTGCCAGGTGTTAGGGGTAGAACAGGGAGGGTTGTTACCTTAATTTTAATGAGGATCAGAAACTTCTGTGTTTTCCCCACAAATGTTTCAGAAACTAAATGTAATTTCAGTCTAGGTCAATGTTGCTTTTTCTTGGTACCAGTAGATAATTGTGACTAATATTGGTTTAAAAAGCTATACCTAAAAAAAAATGGTTTATGACTAGTTTTGGTACTATAAAGGTTTCCACTCGATCTCAATTTATATGGAAAACTCAGTAATTAGAACCTTCAGAAACCTGAAAATCTGCACTGCTAGTTATATGCAGTTCCGATGGATGTAGCAAATAAAATAGCCACTGCAGTAATTAATTTCTAATTATCCAGTGTATAAACACAATGTACTGTGATGATCACTAAGCAGAGAGATATTGCAGACTCAAAATGATCCGTAAATCCACTCCACATATATCAAAAAAATGTAAGTAGTTACAGCATTCCAGTGTCCATCTCTCCCTCTCTCCTGTTCTTGCTTTTCTCGGGGCAAAGTGTCTATACCAGTATTACAACAGCAGTTTTGGACTTCATGTCCTAATGAATTATGTCTATATTCAGGTATTGTCATAAAAAAACTTCATATTAAGAGAGCTTTATTTAATCCTCACAAAAATCTCTTAGCCTGGTTGCAAAATCAATTTTCCTGGGTGACCTACTAGAAGGAAGGTTATTTTTTGGCCTGTCTGGGGCATTTCATTCACCTTCTTAACAACAAAAAAAAAAATATATCCCCAAATCCCCACCCCTACCCCTGTGCTTGTCTCTACTGAATTGGTAAGTATAATTCAGAAGGACTCAAGATGATACTCTATTTTATGGAGCAGGGATTAGGACACAGTCTTCATTCTGACTGGAGCAGGAAAAGTTACTGTCAGAAAACAATTTCTGTGGTCATCACATAGTACAGTCTAACTTCATGTTTTTTCCTATTCAGAAATAATGAAGACACTACTACAGCTACTAATACAGTTTCTCAACTACTTGGTGCTACATTTCTCAAATATTTTTGCAGATAATATTTTTTATGCCTGCATGAAAGCACGTAAACTTTACTGTCACTATAAAAAGCACTTGTCTGACCTATTCTAAAGTACCAGAAAAGGGATAAATAACTGCAGCACTTTTTCTGTTACAATGCCAGAGTCTTAATTAAATCTGGTCTTCAGGTTATGAGATATTTTAAATGTACAATCTAGGATCATTAATGGCTTTTCAGGTCAGATCATAAGTTCTCTTGGGATACTAATCTGTCTTTTAAAGACTAGTACAACAAAATATTCTGAGGTTCAGGCGGGGGATGTATATATACATGCCTGATATTTTAAACTAATCATTTCAATAGACCATTTCAGGGCTTGACCTTTGGAATCTGGGATGATAGGTAGGGAAAGGGAAGTTTCCCTAAACTGAAAAAACATTTTGGACCATTGTTTAATGTTCAGTTTGAAAACTATATCACAAGAAAAATGGGTAGGGATTCTTTCTCCCTTATGCCTTCAGGGAATGAGTAGTATTTAGAATCTCTGGCTGAAATTCAAGCCTTTTTACCATGTAAATTTTTAATATAAACTCATTGACATGCTTTTTACATCCAAGGACTGAAAATGGATCTTAATGTTTAAGTTGTGGAATGGTATATTTCTTAAATGAAGGGGGAACATTTAAAAAAAAAAATAGATTAGAATACCAGCATTAGTGAGCTTAAGGAATTTTAGTATGTAATAGCAAAGTATAGCAAAGTATTTGATTAAAAAAATAATCTTGAATTGCTAGTCTGTAACTAGGTGCATTCTAATTTAGCAGGTGAATATTCTTTACTTATCGATATATGATGGGCTTTTTGCAAATAGAAACCTTTATCTGAGTCCCATGTGTTGCTTGTACTGATGGGATGTATGCTTACAGCAGCTTACTGCTGCTTTAAAATGTATAAAATATGTTTTGAGTGTTTGCTCATAACTCTTTCTAACCTCCACTTGTTAAATTGTCAGACATTGGTATTTTATCAGTCCGCAATGTAAGTTTAAACTAATGTTCTTAGGAATCCAACTTGTACACACACTGTTTAAAAACCCTCAGGGACAGTTTACACACTATCCTCACTCAATTCAGGTACTTGTACTCTCTTCTTAAACCTAGCAGTGACTTGTATTTTGTTTTGCTTTTCTTTTGACGTGCTGATAGCACATCCTTGATGAATGTCAACTTAAAACTCAGTTCAGGTATCCAGGTATAACTCAGCCAAACGGATTTTAAAGCTGCATATTTACTCTCCAGCACACAGTGCCTCAGACACTTATAGTGGCATTCTGTATATTCAGTTATTACTACTGAGCAGATCGCGTGGGGGTTCCTGGTATGTATTGTAAGAAATTCCTATGTATATTATATAATATGTATTATATTATATACATATATAGTATATATGTTATCTTAAACTTATATATTTTAAAATGCCACTACTAGCCAGCGCAGCTAAAAATGAAACACATTCCCAACTGCTTCTGCCAACGGCAGCAGCAGCTTCTTAACGTGGCTCTTGCTTCTCTCTCACCATAACTACTTCTAACCTCAAGCACGGGTCCTTGGCTGTCTGACCTCTACACTCTAGTTATGCAATGTCCTTAGAGAATTCTGTGCACTGGCCACTGTGATGGAAACCAATGGGCCGGGAGTGCTTTGAGTTTATTAGTAATTGTTCTGCCAAAGTTGGTGTTTGTATGACAAGCGTGTAAACCTGTCAGATAATCAGCAGAGGTCCAAGTGTGCGTAGTTGCTTCCACCTAATTGGTAGGGCCAGACCCTCAGCAGGTGTCTCCTCTCTAATGCTGAGCATGAATTCAGCACGTGTTGGCACTGAACATCTGTAGTGACGGGGCCTCTGTGCTGCGCTCGCGAGGAGGCGAAACTTTAAAGAAAAATCTGCTGTTCTGCTCTTGCAGTGATCTGTTGGCAGTCACAAGTCAGCAACACCTCTGCTTTATTATTTGACACTTTACATCTAAAAAGTCTTCTCTTTCTATTTATGTAACCCATAGTCTTTGAAGAGTATGGAAAATGGCATTTCTCTCTGACCTCTAGAAGTTCAAGTGTCATGGGAAAAAAAAAAAAAAAAAACAGGAACCCCCCCCTTTACTCTTATGGACCTCATTTCAATATACTGTTTACAGTTTGACGGAATTGTATAATTTAATATTTCTCTTGTACTGTAGTTTATATTTATTTACAGATTTTTTTTGTACTGTGTGATTTGAATTTTTTGTTCCTTGCTATGATCAATGTTTTATGTAGTAGAGCACTTATGATCACAAATTAAGGTTTTTGGTTTGATTGCACTACATTAATTTTTTTTAATGCAGTTCTGATTTTTTGACTGGACTAAATAAGCTGTGTCTTAATGTATGTGATAAGTACTTTAAAATTTTTATTTCATGTGGTCCATTTATTTTTTGCATTGTATGTCAAAGCGCTAATTCTCTTGTTGTGCATGTGTAAGATTTAATGGCTCCATTGTATTATTTGACCATGTCATTTTGGAAACACATTCCCAGCTGTAACGTTGTGTATGGTAGTTTTCACTGGATGCTAGACTTTTCAAAACCACTATTCTTCTAATAAATTTTGTTGTGAAAAACTTTAAGGGGTTCCAATTCTGTTGTTTCTAGTGTGTGCTTTCTAAATGCCTGCACTAGTCACCGAGGTTATGAAATGCAAACTATCACAGATTGAGAGAAGCAGGGGAAGAAGTGAAAATAGAAGGTAAAGCAGATTCTGGCTGAAGGATCGAGCTTTGGAGTCTGTGCGCTCTGTTTGATTCTTGTCCTAAATAGGATTGGCGATAAGGCTGCTCTAGCAGCTGGGTAGGGGATACATGTGAAAGCTGAAACGCTGTCTCGTAGCAGCCAGGTCTCATGAACTCCCGTACTCTAATTTGCTCTTCCCTACCAGCCACCTTCATTTCTTTCACGGTAAATAATTTATCCAGTGAAGAATGAACAGTCTCTCGGGGCAGGGGGCCAAAAAAAGAAAAGAAAAAAAATTATGCGGGTTTGTTCACTGGCCACTTAATACTGAGTCGAAGTAGAAACGGTGGTAAGGATGAGAGCCTAGCAGGGCACCCTGGCTGCTGCCTGGCGCGGTCGGTCGGTCGGTCGGTCGGTCGGTCGGTGTGCCTGCCTTGGGTCAGGCGGCGGGGCCCTGGCCTTCGGGGCTGGACCGGGACCGGGGCGAGGAGACGGGCCCAAGGTTCCAGGAGGCTGCCTGGCTGCCTGCTCGCACCAGTAGGCACCGGTGTTGCTTTTATTCTCTCTGCAGCCACCAGCTCTCCCTCCGCAGGGGGGACGGGCCCCCAGCTCCCCATTTAACCTAAGGAAAAGCTCCAGCGGCTCTGTCCCGGTGTCCTTCTGCACAGGGGCACAAGGCGGATTCAGCAGTGGCACCACGCTGCAGCTGGCCTTTGCTTGAGACCTGCGTTTACGTTTTTGCCACCGTAGTTTAGGTTGAACTACTTTTGACATTATGCATTATTGATACCAAAATGCTGAATACTAAAAAGTAGGTTACAGTAAGTGGTATATAATGGAACCCATGTGAGTTTAGACGTTTCTGCTAACCTTTGTGTTTAGTCCTAGGATGATTTTGAGAGTGATGCATAGGGATTTCCTAGCTTTAGGAAAATTTGTAATGCTGTACACTGCCTAGCCAAGGCTTCTTTTCTCCAGAGAAATGGGCTTTCTCAGCTTGTGCTATTGAAAAGTAGGTAATTTAGGGTTTGAATTTGCTAACGCGATTTTTCAGTGCCTTTTTTTTTTTTTTAAGATCCTTAAATAACTGTTACGGTACAAACTAACTTGTATTCATTGTATACTAATACTGGATTAAAAATAAAAAGCAAAATGATAAGGTAGCTGGGTGTTGTCATTGGTTTAGCTTTACTGGACAAATCTCAAAAATTTGGTTTGACTAGAGACCACATCTTACACTTACTCAGGAATAGTGAGTCTTTATGTGTAAATAGCTTGAAAGCCTTGTGCTGTAAACTAGCATTTATCATATTTTTTCTTTATGTCTGAATACATCTGTCAAATCTATGAAAATAGCCTTTGAAACTGATGAACCATATTCCCATCTGCCATTCTTTAGGATGTATTACATTCTGCATGCTTTTCCCAGAACATTTTTAATCAACACTTTTAGTCCTGTGATTATCAGAAATACCAAGTTTTTCTGGTTTTCCTGGAGGATTTACTGATAGTCTCACACTGTTAAGCTGAAGTTGTTCAGATTTAAAGGAACACAGTCTCAAGTTCTTCTTCTAAAGCTGTTTTCTGTAACATAAATACGTATCATGACAAGGGTGCACAAGATGCTGTACCCAGACTCAGAAAGAAGCTTCCATTGCTCCTGTTGTAGAAGCAACCTAATTAGCTCCGTTAGGCAGTTTTAAAAGTCTTCTGCTAATCTGGCTCAGTTGATTTTGCCACAGGGTGGGTTTTGAGCTGCTCCATTTGTTCTTGGAAGAGGTAGCTGCGTCTCCTGAACCTGCAGGAGCATATCTAGTCGCCTTCTGAAATAACAGGTACCTCATGGAGTAGCAGTGGACTGTACCCCCACGTACACTTGGGTCGCTGTATACAATCCAGATAGTCCAGCAGATGTGAAATGAGAGGTGCTGCTGATTGTTCCTTTGTGAAAATATGTGCTTCTGGGAAGGGAATTGCAGAAAGCTTCAGGTCACTACCTGCAAAGGTTGGGTTTAATGCTGGACCTGAAAGTAGGCAACTGCCTGACCTCACTGTGAAGGATCTGAAGCACTCTTGTGTTGGCAATCAACTTTGAGTGAAGCTGATCTAATTAAGGAAATTCCTGAGCATCATAATTTCATTTTCTTGTGCAACCAAACCCAAGCCCCCATGTTGTGGCTGCTCAGTCAAGCTGCAGCAATGCAAAGCTTGCCCAGGCGTCCTCGGTGAGGCAGCTCACCAGTGTCTTTCCTGCCTGAGCGTGCTGAGCTCTCTGATTTCCTAGAGGCATGACAAAAGTGCGTCTAGGGGGAGCGGGGAGGATTTAAATCCCGGTTCAGGAAGATACTTCAGCAAATCACCAATTTCTTAATCTGCAAACTCTGCTCTGGCAGATGCCCAGCCATGGGTACTTGCTGAATTGTGGTTTTAACTGGAAGTGAGTAGCAGTTCTTGGACCTGTTTAGGAATATGATTCATGTACAGAGGTGCAGACCAAAAGCAGTTTCAAAAACAGAGCTTGAAGTGTTAGGAGCAAATCCAGGAATATGGTGTTTGATACAATGAAGATGGCAAAGGGCTTGAAATAAAAGTTGATCTTTTTTAATATAGTTATTCTCAAGACACTTTAATAGATGTTACAATGCTGGAAGGATCTCAAATAACACTATTTGTGGGAGTACTGTTTCCCCTGATCTGGTACGTTTGATGCAGACTCTGTGACTTAAAATCCAAGATGTTCTCAGTTGTCTAGTAGGAAATTCAGAAGAAATCTGAATGACTTCACACTTGTGAATTATGAATTAATTAAGTTCATTCTTGCCCGCCTCCCTGAAAACCCCAGACAACACAACCTTTAAAAGCTCTCTTTTAGTATCATGACAAAGGAGCACAAAACAATTGCATCTCATTTTTACAGGTTGCTTTTAACATATCAAAATTTAAAGGTTGCATTTGAAAGAACACTTCCAAAATCTTCTCTTGCCTCCTCCTCCTCTGCGGGTGTCATGCAGCTCAGCAGATCTATTCCATACACATTTGATTAAAAGGCAGATTTTTGTATGAGATGGCTACAGCTCAAATTTCCAGGAATTGTTTAAAAGCTCAGCTGGAATTAGAAGTGCTTAAGGTACATTTCAGAGCACAGAAATTTAAGCACTGAAGACAGAAAGCTTGCCTGTATGAAAATACAGCTGCATCTCCCCGAGGGACCAACTGGAGTCTTGGGCTGTAACTTACCCAGTGCCCACAGTAACGTGGTGAAGGACAGGGCAGAGGCTTCAGCCGCAGCCAGTGCGAGAGCCAGCGGAGGATCCAGCAACGCGCTTCTCCCAGCACGTGTGGCCGCTCCTGCTCCATCTCCCTCGCGGCCGTTACCTGGGCTCGCTCGATCGCAGCTGGCGTGCCCACCTTTGCTGGACTCCTGCCTCCAGCTGCAGACCAGCTCCTCTCGTGTGACGGGAGGAGTAGTTTGTCTGCACGGGGTTATCAGCCAACCATCTGTGAAAATTATAGTGCTAAATAAGCAGTTTTGTTGCACCTGCTGTGGTTTTGGGGTTTATTTTTTGCTGACGTGCACTCGGATCCCTCCTGCCCAGCTAATAGAATGTAGGGCTTGCTTAACTCGTTTTGCAATGACATTCCTAACTTTGAAAGGGGCTTTTATGGTTTCTTTTCTTAAAGCCGAGCCTTTGACTGTGCTTTTCTTCTCACTGAGCTCTAGAGGAAGGCTCTGACACTAATTATTGAGAGTTAGTCTGGCTCTGCGGGAAAAACTGACACTAGGAGAAGCTGAACAGCTTCCCCACACATGTGAAGGGGTTTTCATATGCACAACTGATACCTGTGCTGGGACCCTTGCTGTAATCTCAGCCTGAGGTGTTTTCTTGGAGAATCCACTCCACCACGCTCCCCTTTTAGGTGAAGGTAGTGGTATAGTTTTTTCATGTTTTCAGATGTGCTCTGGTCACACGTGGTATCTTCCTCAGATTCTTTTAAGGCCTTTAAAACAAGTAGCTGTGCATGAAGTGTTAGCAATGGTTTAAAACAAACTATTTGACTTTGAAAGGAGACTAAAAAAAGACAGGTTTTGCATAAGAAACTGTCATAACAAATGTATTCTGTTTGTATGGGAATAGAAGTTTACTTCTGATTTCTAGCCATCAAACATCAGCCTGAGTTGTGAAAGCTAAACCAGCTTACTCAGTACCTGAGGTGTGTTCACTAATAACTAAGTTATTGTTGACCATGGTGACAGCTACCTAAAGTCGCTGCTCGCTAGAGGTCTGCCTAGCTGTAATTCAGTGAGCTTTTCTGCTGATGCATAAAAAAAAAAGTAGATTCTTGTTCCTGTTTCAGGACCTGTATTGGCTTTTCTCTAATAGACAGACACAAGTGTATGCAGTAAGGGTAACTGCTTGACTTTAATTCTAGCCTTCTTGCCTATACCTGGCCTTACATTGGTGCCTTTACTTTTGTTTGAGTGTAGACTGAATGCTAATTGATAAAAGCAAATATAACATAATTCTGGATCTAAAAGAAATATGCCTTGCAGCTCCTTTAATGATCTTATTAAACTAGGAGTAATAATTAGTAACAAGGCTTAAAATCAGGGTAACCTAGCACAAAGTGACAAAGGTAGTAGCTTAGTGCTGGCAAAGAGCAGATTGGTGGGGTTTGGGTTTTATCTGTTTCGTCTGTTCTTTTATAGCTCCCAAGTGAAAAAAAGGACTTTCCTCATGAGATTAATAGGAGTAGCAAGGCCTCAGCAGTACAACAGGGAATCTGGCACTCAGCCCTTTGTGGGTCAAAAATCCCCACAGCGTACGTGGTTCAGGCTCTGGTGTCGCCATCCGAATGTGTGAGTCACTGCAAGGACGATTTTTCAGAGGTGGTTTTG